TTCACACAACGTACTGAACCGTTGTCATTTGTAGTCAAAAATATGCTGCTCAAATAAAGTTCAAAAGGTGGACCTGGAAAATTTTTGTACCTGCTGTAAAAATATACTTGATGGAGAAAAAACTCACACCTAAATCATCTTGTTTTGGGTAATTCACATTCACACCCCAAGGGTCTCGAGAAAACTTTGAAAGTGGATCATCTAAAACCGAGGAAGGAAAGACCAGTCAGTAGATTTCTAGTGCACGAAGTCATAAAGGACTTTTTGATCAAATGAAAGGAACTGCAAAAATTCGTAAATGTTTCGTGTTCAATGTTTCTTCTAAAGCATGACTGATGCTAAGAAAATCAGAAATTTGTATAATGATAAGCTTGCCTTAGATTATAAGAAGCAACTATCGATAGTTTTTATAAAAATTCTGAAGCTAATTTTTCTATTTATATTTCTATTTATATAGGGTAAATGAGTTTTTGGTGTCTTATATACTAACGATTATTAGTATATAAGTAAAATTCAAGTTGAAAATACAATTTCACTACAGGTTTGCCAAAAACAAAGTCGAACGCAGTACGGGTAGAAAAATTGTCGATAATGTGCGCATTACTCATCCGATTTTCAATGTTTGCGATGACCAATAAGTTTGGTAGGTTTTCAAGGAACTCTCGTCGTGAAAATACTAACATTTATGTTACAACACATAGCGAAGAATATATAAAGCGCAGTTTGAATAGAAAATACCAGAAAAAAGACAAAATACTGGTTTACATATATCAAAAAGCGTATATTTCATACAAAATGTATGGGTGGTCTAGACAGACCACTCCGCCTGTTCGAAGTATAAAAGAGTTAATATCCTTATAATTATTCTTCTGTACATTTTTCGTCCTGATTTTTTCATTGATCGACAGCTAATAAAATTTTAGGAAAAGTCAAGAAATTTCAAGTCGATAGAATTACTAGAAGTTTTTTTTTTAAATTGACGTTGAAAAAAGTCTGGCCAGACCACTCCGACCGACGGAGGGGTAAATGTAAAATTATGTCTTATTTTCTATTATCACAGAACGAATTAATTTTATTTTTATGTATTTATATGGAAAAACGCTTTTCCCATAGCTAACTTTTCGCATGACGAACTTTCTCTCGGAACGAATTTAGCACGTTATCCGGGGTACCACTGTATATTTATTTAAAATGTTTATTGTCATCTTGCGTGAATATTTCTTGGATTTTTATATAAATTGTTATAAAACTTACTAATTCTTACTTGAGCTATCGATGTAAACAATGTTATGTGTTGAACAAACACAGTATGCTAAATTTGATATATAACTTCATATCGTATTGTATCACATGTCCGATTTATTGCTTTTTACTTTTCTTAGCACATTACTTTTGGAACACTAGTACCTTATTTGTACTTATTTTTTAATTATTTCTACAAAATATAAATTTCAAACTACTTCGATTTGAAGCATTAACGCGTGAAGTATCGCGATCACTGTTGAGTAAGAATATCTTTTGCATAAGATTTGGTACAGCATTGCTCAGCATCCGGCCTTCGAATTTGCTTCACTCAATGTTAGTAGCACCTTCACCTATATTCGAGAACCAATGTTAAATATGGAAAATCGTGCACTTACCATAATTATACATTAATTAATGTTGATGATCATGCATACTTTATGGTCGTTTTATATAATGGTCCGGTATGTGCATGTATATGGTTATATATTTTATATTTTATCTTATTATATATTTATATATATATATATATATATATATATATATATATAATATGTGTGTGTGTTAACGTGTATACATAATCAACAAAACATCGAATAAATCAATTTATACTGCAATATGAATTGAATGTCGTGCTACTTGCCACTTATAAGCTACTTCTTCCGTTAATATCACTTATTTTGAGAATAAAAGAGGAAAGATTATTTTTTGCTTATTTCAAATTAGCAATGCTAATTTTGGGTCTTCTCGTCGTTTCAAGTCATTCTTAACCATTTGACACCAAAATTGAAATAAAATATGTGTGTGTGTGTGAACCAAAATTTGTGCCTTCGTCGATGTTTGCTCAAAAACGACTGCTCCGAATTCAAAATTTTTCTCTTATTTTTTTATGTGAGTTTATTCTGTAATCTGTTTATTATAAAATATTAAGCAGAGACTACTAACATATATATGATAAAATTTTGTATATATATTTTCAAACATTTAAAAGTTATTTGAAGAAATTTGTTAGCAGAAATTTTTCACCCTCGTTTTCGCCAAAAATCCTGAATTGATTTTGAAAATGAATGAGTGTATGAAAAATTGTTCGAAAGCAATCAATTGGTAACCGCGCTGATTAGTTATTGGTAAAGATCAGTCGAGCCATTTTTTTCATAACTAGTTATTTGTTGAAAATTTTCTTTGCCGATTCTAATGAAACTTTGTGTATATATTTTGGAGTTCATGGTTTTAACGAACATTCTAAAATTTATGAAGTAAATTTATAGCTTTCTCAATGAAACTATTTATTTTAACCATCTGAATATTTAGAATTCTGAAGCGCTTTCAAATACTGCTTTTATGTAAATTAATAATTCCTAATTTTGTTAACTTGTTTAGAATTGCCAACACGTAATAAAAGTTCATGCAATTTATATATAAAAATCTAACATGAAATTCATAAGTATAAACAATCTTAGTATTCAGGCTATTATTATTTATAAAAATAGCCCTAATTACTAATTTTATTATTACTTGCTCGTCAAATATTAGTTATATTGTTAAAATTAAATTAAATTTGGATTTTGGGGCATTGATAAATAGTAAAACTGCATACAAATTTTTAGGCCTTGGCATTTTTATTTCTTCTATTTTCTTGCGGAAAATCGCCAATTTTGATAAGGAAGGACCATTAAATATGTAAAACACCGCATGTCCACCGACAGAGAAGAAAAAGATTGATCGCGGCGACCAAAAAATTCAGCAAAGTCATAATAAACTAATTTTATTAAATTATATTTTTTTTAAACAATTGTTATTTAATTGAACTTAACACCTTGAAGACCGCGCCGGAAATTGTGGATTACTCGTGGTGAATCTATCAAATGACAATTCCAAACAACACATATTGTGGGCTCATCGGTGGCCATGCGGTCCCGTAATGTTTCTGGGATTTTGATAAAACTTTGCATGGTGATAGAGTTTATAGTCAAATCGATCAACTCAAAATATCATAGGCCTATGAGAAGCGGTTTAATAAGTGGTCATTGTGTGCACCGACTGCCGAGTGTCTCAGAGGAGACAATCGAGTGATATGTTAAACTTACCTTGTTCCTTCAGGGGGATACCGAGTGGCAAAGGTTAATACATTAGTAATATTTTGAGAAAAAATGAATTTATGTGCAATTCATCAACAATTGATTCAAATTAAGTATAATTTGAAAAGTACATTAATTAACTTCCTGGAGGGTAAGTTATAGTAATCGCAAAAAAATCAAAAATTAAAATTTTTATATATCTTTAGGTTTGAAAGGTTTCTGAATACTTTGGCATACCTTAGAAAAAATGGATGTATGTATGTGTGTATGTGTGCATATGTGTGTGTATGTATGTGTGCGCGGATACAAATGTTTGTTTTGGGGAACACCGATCAACCGATTTGAATCATTCAAAAAACATTCGATTCGTATTGATAAGGAGACGTGCTGATTAGTTTTTGGCGAAGGCAGAGCCAGCCGTTTCGAAAATACAGAGCAAAAAGTGCATTACAGTACGGGACGTTCCAGCAATTTGGCTTAAGGCTTGATGTCATGCGCTCCACTAGCTATGACTTATAATTAGTTGAATTGCCATAAGTCTTTTTTAAACACCTGGGGTCAATGACTTACATTAATTTGCTACACGAAATATGTTAATTTTGATAAGTGGAGTCTATTGACAAAATGCATGGCAAGACTAGTTTGAAATCTGAACGTTAATTAACTTCCCGTAGGGTAAGTTATAGAGTAATCGCAAAAAAATCGAAAATGAAAATTTTTGCATTCCTCGACGTTTCAAAGGTTCTGAATATTTTGGCATACCTTAGAAAAAATGGATGTATGTGTGTGTGTGCGTGTGTGCGTGTGTGTGTGTATGTGTTCGGATACAAATTTCATCGACGATTTCGAGAACACCGATCAACCGATTTAAATAATTTAAAAAACATTTGATTCGTACTGATAAGGAGACGTCCTGATAAGGAGACTTTTAGTGGAGGCAGGTCTAGCCGTTCCGAAGATACGGGGCAAAAAGTGCCAAAAACGGTAACACGGTTTTTAAGAGAACGGAGCGTCCGATTTGAATAATTCAAAAAACATTTTACTTGTATTGACAAGATGAAGAATTTTCATGAAGGCAGGTCTAGCGGTTTCGGAGATCTAATGAAAAAAGTAAAACAAAAAGCCATTTGGCGGTCAAAAATGATCATTAGACATATGCACATCTAATTATCAGATATTTTATAGAGATTTTAACAATAAGTATAAATTTTGTTTACATTCCTATGGGTTCCGTACCAATTTTTATCCGTTAGACGGTGACGCGGCGCTTACGCGCTTTGACATTTCGTCTCTATGCAGTTAAAGCAGTACGATTGCTTTAAAAAAAAGTTCAGAATTTCCAAACTATGCCAAAATAAAGAGACCTTTTTTTTCAAGCATTTTTTTTGTTTCTCAAAAATCTAATTTTTTTCAAAAATGTTAATGGCTTTTAAAAAAATAATAATTTTTGGTACGGGAAGTTCCAGCAATTTGCCTTAAGGCACGATGCCTTAATTGCCTTAAGGCAGAATTCCACTTACAGCTAGTTTAGTCTTACTACCTCTTACTTACTCTTCTTTTATCTATGCTTACTACTTTATTGTGGTTCGCGGATTTGCTTAGCGATGGCACCAGCACTTAAAATAGAAATCCAGAACCCTGTTTTATCGACATATTTTGACAACACGTTTCGATACGGCAGCTACGTGGCTGAAGATTGGCAAACGTTCACTTCGATTTTCTGTCAGTACTTACCGCCGCTTGGTGTTCTATTAAACAAAATTAGTCTATCTTTTATTTTAAAATATGGCTTCAAGTATTCTATACTGTTTTGTGGTGTTAGCCGCGACTGTTTCAACTATTTTAGCGGCAAGTTGTTCAAATCCAGAAGTTACAGCCACATCTTTCACTACGCAAGATGCTACAATTGTTACAAATATAGCATTTATTGCTGAATTTACATTAAAATGCAGTCCAAGTGTTCCTAGTGGCATACCTTTGTATGCTGAAATTGATGGTAAAGTAATGCCGACTGCTAGAATTGGAGATAATAAATACCAAGTAAGTTAGGGATTCTCAATATTTTGTCACAGTTGTATATACATATACACATTACTTACATTACATTACATACGTACACACACACATATACACACACATATATATATATATATATATATATATATATATAATTATACTCTCGATTTGTACAAGCATTTTTTCTAATTTACAGGTTAGCTGGACTGAAGAAATTAACAACGCTCGCAGTGGTGATCATAAAGTGAGATTATATGATGAAGAAGGTTATACTGCAGTTCGTAAAGCTATGCGATCTGGTAAGTTGAAGATATTATAAATGCTAATTTGAGATAATATAATTTGAAAATTTGAGTTTAAAATTTTATTGGAAGTTTTTTTACGCTCTCATAAGCGAGTTTATAAATTTATTTTGTTGTATATTCTATGTCAAAGCTATAAGCTTATAATATCATAGCTTCAAGATAGAACTTAAGTGTAAATTATTTTTTTAAAGGGACTTGATTTGTCCACTTGTATTTTAAGAACTTAACTTCATTCATTCATAACTTCATGGTTTTCACTTGCCTTTCTTATTATTTAATCTTTTATAAGTTATTCCTTTTTTGCCCAAATAATTTTGATTTTTTGTATATGTAAAGTTCTCGTTTTCAACTACCAAAATCAAATCAAATGCTTCATTTGGAATGTGACATCTCTGTTTAAAAAACAAATAGTTTAACATATATCTATAACTTTTTTTATTACAGGTGAAGATGCCAGTGCTGTCAGGTCATTGGTGACTATCGTTATTTCACATCCTGGTGCATTTACTGGTCCATGGGTCAATTCTGAATTGGTTGCCTCATTAGCTGCTGTTGGTGTAGCTTACTTAGCATTTACTTCCAAATACAAATTATTATTATAGATGATTTAATTATAGTGAATGTTAAAATTTTATTTATTTAAATACAAATCTGGATTTTTTATAATTAGTTTTTCATTACAAGAGCTATCAAGTCCAAAATAATCTTACAGTTGAATTGTAGTTTGAATTCCAACTTATGTTAAATTTGACATTATTAATTAGAAAATATGTGTATCTCATATTCATGAACATTTTGTTATTGCAATTCCATCATTTCAAAATAGTACAATGAAAGCTTTAGAACTATAAAATAGGCTAAGTTTTTGAAGTTATAGAAGTGTTTTATTTTTATTATGCATATTTCATACTACAAAATAACAAAAATGTAAAAATAAATTATAACAAAATTGACATGGAAATATTGTATAAAAAGTAAAAAAATCAAAATTAAACAAGTTAAAAAAATGTTAGTTACACAAACTTCCAAGGTATTTAGTTTAAATTTAGAAATAAATAAGATTTGCTTCATATCAAATTATTTGAATTGAAAAACATACTGTAATGTCAGTTCGCTAAAGTATTATGATTATGAATAAAAATATAAGTTTAAATCTGCAAGACGTTAGATTAGATTTGAAAGCCGTTTCGTGGGCGATGGTGTAGCATCTAGCGGCGACTTTCGAAAGTATTTCAAACTCGGTACCTTGACTTTTGACATATTGTGATTTCAATTTGTAGCTACTCTGCGTGAAAATGTATTTTTAAAACATGATTTTTAAATAAAAGTCGGCATGCCACCAAGTCGTTTAGATTCTATTTATCGACGCTTGTTGATAACTAAGTTTTTCACAAAAGGATGGGGTAAACCAGAAAACTTACAAAGGTAACAATAATATAGGTTATGTTATCTTATACAAATATTGTAATTTATCAATAAAAATGTTTATTTTGCAGGTTGTTTGAATTTAGAAAAATTATATCAAAAAGAGAAAATTGCTTTAAACTAGTAGATAAAGATTATCCTGTGACTATAACCAAGGTGAGTAGATTTTATCAGGATACTATTATGTAATTTAACATGTATAAAGTGTAAACACTCCCTGAACATATGCAAAAACAGATATTAATCTAAATACCCTTTGATATGAGTTTTATTAAGTTATTGCTTATTTTGTAAGTTTGTGAGCTTGTAATTTGTGATTCAAAATGATTAATTAAAATATTCTTTATTAAATACATTTTAAAAATATTTATACTTTATTGCTTAAACATATCTAATTAACGGTTTCTAATTAGCACATGCTATACTGCAAAGATCATATTATCACTTAGGAAGAATTAGCAGAGTAATTTAATTAGAATTTCCCATATGCATACATCCATACAATGAGATAAACTTCAGTTTGTCATATTGTTTGCATGTTATACTAAATTTTCTTATGGGATTGAACACTAGATAATTTCCTTTTCGGTTTCACGGTAACTTCAAACAAAGAAAAAATTGAATAAGCAGATTAAGCAATAAACAGAGTTGTTATTTACTAATTTGCAGAGTTATTAATCGGTTATTTGTTTCTACTGATATCACATTGCAAAACAAATACGCTTTTTGTGTCTCCGTATCCCTAGTTAAGTTAGATTGTTTATTATAATTTATTAAGTATTCTAGATTTTATATAAATAATAAAAAATATTATAAATTTAATTTTCAAAACTCATTTTGGCGCCCCCTAAGGCGTGCGTTGGTTATCAAGAGGCAAAGTTGTAAGTAGGGTTTACGAATTACGAGAAGAAATTGGATTGTTTCTTGAAAATCAGAGAACACAAAAAGAAAAAGAATATTTTGCCAAAATTAAAGACCAAGCATTTGTTCTATAAATGCAGTTGGATAATAAGCATATTTTAGTTCAAATTTGTGTGGTTTTAATTATTTTAAGTTAGCTAGCGGTAAACTCAATTCCCATACTTGTTCACAGGGGTAGTGACATTGAAAAAGTTGGGAACCACTGCTCTAGAATGACTCTAGATAAAATAGTAATTGATGTTTGTAATACTTATATTCACAAATCAGTTTGTATTTAAAACAGAACAATACCATCAGTTATAACTATTTTTATTTTTTTTTATTTTGAAATCTATGTACTAATAAAGTTGTGTTAATACTCTCATGGTGTAACATTTAAAAGAAACTAAAAACAAGTTAATATATAGAAGTTTATATTCGCTTCGATTCAAATCAGAATTGTTGTTACATGTTAAATATTTTTAAATTCAATTTTTCTTAGGAAGAAGTGTGGTCTGACTGCCGCGTTTTAGAGGGCCATTTTGTGACACCACTTGATAAGTTTTTACCAGACTTAGTTCCCGAAGCAGCAAAATCTGCCCATTTTCAAATTTTACTACCTTTAAAATGGAAAGAGAACAATTTCAAGCCTATGTGTTTACATTTGGCTGGCACAGGAGATCATGTGAGTATGATAAGCAATATATAATATCACAAATATATTTTTATTTTGAAACTATTTATTTCGATTTATAGTATTTTTGGAGAAGACGTAATATAATGGCCAAACCTCTTTTAAAAGAGTCAGGTATCGGATCTATCATTTTAGAAAACCCATTCTATGGCTTAAGGAAACCTAAAGACCAAGTGTAAGTATAATTATGTCTTGAGAATTGTTAGCATTAATACTTTTTTTTCACAATAATTATAGAAATTCTAATATTTGATTTAAGATATAGATGTTTTTGTCTGCAGGCGGTCTTGCCTTCACAATGTGACCGATATATTCGTAATGGGAGGATGTCTAGTTTTAGAGTCGCTAGTTCTATTTCATTGGTGTGAACGGAATGGTTTTGGCCCGTTAGGTGTTACTGGCCTTTCTATGGGTGGTCATGTGAGTACACTTATTTTTTTGCTTTATTTAAAGTGAGTACAGTAATAGCAGTAGTTATAATGAGGCAAATTAATAAAAAAAAGTAGAAATAAAACAAAGTTTTGTCAAAATTTGTTGAGATAAAAATAATTAACTTTGAAATTTATTTGTGCCAAGGATGAAGACTTCATCCATATGTAAGGTGAGATTTTGTTGAAAAGCAACATTTCATAGTATATTATATTATTAATGAAATATTATTTTAGATGGCGTCATTGGCTGCCACAAATTGGCCAAAACCAATAGTCTTGGTTCCTTGTTTGTCATGGTCGACAGCTTCTGCAGTTTTTACCAGGGTAAATAAAAATACTATCAAATATATATATTAATATTAATTTTATTAATATTATTTTTAGGGTGTTCTAAGTCAATCAATTAATTGGGAACTGTTAGAAACACAATATTTATCTGACGGGGTATATAAAGAAAAGCTTTCTAAAATGGTTACAATAGTTGATGATGCGTTTCTCGCAGGAAAGCGTTTTGTGCAAAATTTTAGTCAAAGCATGTCTGAGTTAAAACAGGATATGCAACAGCATTTGGATGGTTCAGCCACAAAAGAAGTGGATTTGAAATTAAGTGCTATAAAAATTGATAATGATGTTAACAAGCCGATGAATAAGGTAATTAGGCATTTAAGTGATCAGCCTGTTAAAATTAATAATCCTATGTCTTTGGAGTTGATAAATAAAATTACCTCAGATGCAAAGTTTGAGTTGAATTCTCAGGAAATTTGTGAATTAAATAAAATGAATTCTTCAGAAACGCCGTCAAGCTTTGATCAAAATGCTGAGGAAAATGAGAGGTATAGGTATAGTATTGATTCATCAGAATTTAAAAAAATTGAAAGTGATTGTTGTTCGGAACCCAATGCTGTTAACATTATCAAAAATGGCAATGTTGGAGTTCTAGAACGAAATATTGAAAAAATTACTGACTCTTCTGTGAATGAAGGTATGAAAAAATACATGAGCGCCATGCTTTGGAAAAATTCTGATGAAGAAAATTTTGATGTCAAAAAGCTTAATTGGAGGCAGCGAGAAGCAATGCAATTTATGAGGGGTGTAATGGATGAATGCACTCATCTTAGTAATTTCTCAATTCCATATGATACTTCTCTAATTATTGGTACTTATTTATTTTAGAGACATTTTTTGTACATGCCTTTGTGTCTATTAATTTTAATTTTTATTTAAATTATTTATTAGCTGTTTGCGCTAAAGATGATGCATATGTTCCTAGAGATAATTGTGGCAATCTAGAAGATATTTGGCCTGGAGCAGAGGTGCGATACGTTAATGCTGGTCATGTTAGTGCCTATGTACTGCATCAAGGTCTTTTCCGGTAAATGAGGATTTCAGTATATAATTAAAAAAATTAATATTGATATATCGTTCCATTTTTACAGTTCGTGCATTAAGGAAGCTTTTGAAAGATACAGAAAGAAATGGATGAACAATGCAGATTGCACATAACAACCAGCTTACAAGAATATATTTATCAGCAAAGAAAGTATTTTGTTTTTAAAATTTATATAAATTGTTATAAAATAAAATTTTTAAATTTTTAAGAATTTCAGTTGTATCAATATTGATTTTGTCTTACATATGAATTATAAGAATCTCTAATTATAGGTGTATAAAAAACAAGTATAGTAGAAATCCTTTAGTTTGGCTTGCTCCGGATTGACCCCTGTGTCGGACTATAGGGCTGTAATTATAGAAACAATTATATTATTAATCAAACTACAAAATCACATTTGATAAAATTAGAATATATCTCTCCTTCTGAATACCAAAACTTAAGTTTTAAAAAAACGTGGTAACTGATGGTTAAATCTACTGATATATATGTGTAATGTGCCACTGAATTCAGTAGACTAACTTAAAAAAAAAAAAGTGCGCGTAAGGATCACACGCGATTGAAGTAAAACTTTTAATATTGTATGAGTAGGCAATTAGATAAAATAAAAACATATTTGAATTTTAAAATCATTTTTAATATCACATAACATTAAAACACAGTTTAAAACAACAGCGATAGATTAATTGCTATCATATTTCTATATGATATAAGGTTGTGATAACTGAAATGAAGACATAAATTTTGCTTTGTAAACTAATGTACATTTCTGGAGAAAAGCATGAATAGTCGTGCCATATCTTGTGGTTGATTCAAATGGAGAATTATTCATTGTTAAATTAAATATTATTTAAAAAAATTTTAATGGTTGAGTTTTTCTGAACGAAAATTGACATTGAAATCTCCAGCAAGAATTAATGGCATTAGAAAATGATTTCTTTTGGCAAATATGATTTATTTCTATTCATTGGAATAGATGAAGATCTCCTGAAATCGGCACAGCTGTCCTACTGATATTAAGAGTTTGATATTATTAAGCTTTCTTCTAATTTTTGTTACCTATCTTACCAGGAATTCAAAACATAAACGTAGAAGTTCATCATTATCGCCACGTTTCTATGTACACTAATTTTCCTACACAGCCATTAGCTAAGCCATCACTTACATCAATATTAGTTGTTATTATGTAAAATTTATTCAGAACTAAAATTATTTCATACGGCAAACCCCCGGTAATCAATAACCGATTTTTGTGAAACTGCTGACGAATGTATGATTGTTGATCTGTCGCATGGCAACCTACATAAATATCCGTGGCAGTAGATATTATTTTGCCTTCAACGAATTCAGTATAAATTTATTATATTCCATGACACATTTGTTCACTAAGAAAAGTCTTATTCATGAGGACATAATACAGCAACCTCTTCTTTTTAAAAAAACGTGATTCAATTAATGCAAGTTCATATAGGGTTTAGCGTTCGACTTACGCATGACATGACGGGAGTGGATCGCGACTCGCGACATCAGCGCCTACCTGCGTCGTAGTGTTCAACTTCACGTTGGCGTTTTCGTTGCATTTGTACGGATTTACACTCGGTAGCCTAAAGAAATTTTTACACCCTATCGCGCCTGAAGAAGTTTTACTTCAAAAACAGACGAATTCTTCGTAAAACGTAGGGCCACTTGTTCTCGACGGAATTTACCATGGTCACAAAGATTACCGAACAGTAGCGAGTCTTTCCGAATGAGTCTGACCACCCCGAGAACGTACCAATAGCTCTCTCGCGAGACGAATATAAAAATATTCAGTATTTTTATATCTTTTATAACAAAATATACAGTAATTATATATATTATTTCAGTAAAATACTAAGGCAAAAAAGTCAACGATACGTGGTGTTCCCCACGCCCGATGTTGCTTGACTTCGGTGATCGGACGAGAACCGGTATATTCAACATGGTATGATCGTTGACGACAAGTAAAACTATACAATCATATGTATACATAAATTTTTATTTTTAACTTTAGTAATAATTTAATATATAACTGCAAAGTTGCCACAGGAAGAACTGACTTGAAGCGTAAAGTATCCGAAAAGTTGCCACAGGGATAACTGACTTGAAATTTTGTTCTTAGCAAAGAAATATTGCAAAATCTTGATGAAATTATATGAACACAATTAACGATTTATATATCATTTCATTCGTAATTTTATTCTGCATCTTTCGTACGAACAATTTCATTTGCTATAAAAGCACATTTTTGAAAGAAACAATTTTTTTGAAAAAATGCCGGACATCTAACATTCCAAACTATTTCGAAGTCGGACTAAAGCATTTCTACTGTAATTCCACATTAATAAAATATCATCAGTCCTATAAGAGTCTAATTAGAAAACGAATAATTAGTTATTTGTGGTACATAGTTAATTAACTTCCCGTAGGGTAAGTTATATAGTAGTGGGCCGAAAATCGAAAACGAAATTTTTGGCATACTTCGCGTTTCAAAGGTTTCTGAACATTTTGGCATACCTCAGAAAAAATGGATGTGTTTGTGTTTTGTATGTCCGCACTTTTTCGTCTACGTTTTCGGGCGCACGGATCAACCGATTTGAATGATTAAAAAAACATTCGATTTCTATTAATAGGGAGATATGCTGATTTGTTTTTGGCATAGTTAATTAACTTCACGTAGGGTAAGTTATAGTAGTAGGCCGAAAATCGAAAATAAAAATTTTTACATATCTTCACGTTTTGGAGGTTTCTGAACATTTTGGCATACTTCAGAAAAAATGGATGTGTTTGTGTTTTGTATGTCCGCACTTTTTAATCTACGCTTTTGGGCGCACGGATCAACCGATTTGAATGATTTAAAAAACATTCGATTCCTATTGATAGGGAGATATGCTGATTTGTTTTTGGCATAGTTAATTAACTTTCCGTAGGGTAAGTTATAGTAGTGGGCCGAAAATCGAAAACGAAATTTTTGGCATACTTCCCGTTTCAAAGGTTTCTGAACATTTTGGCATACCTCAGAAAAAATTGATGTGTTTGTGTTTTGTATGTCCGCACTTTTTCGTCTACGTTTTCGGGCGCACGGATCAACCGATTTGAATGATTTAAAAAAACATTCGATTCCTATTGATAGGAAGATATCTGTTGATCAGTTTTGGTAAAGGAAAGTCCAGCGGTTAAGGAGATATCGAGCTAAATGTGCAAAAGATAGCTGTTTTTGAGAGACTAAGAATCCAATTGGAATGATTCAAAAACTTTGCTTGTTTTGACAAAATATTCCTTTTGAAATAAAATATTTGAAGTACCTACCAGCAATTTGCCATAAGGCACGATGCAATACATCACTAGTTTCTAGTTTGAAACCCCTGGAAATTTTGCTGTTGTATCGTTAGATGGCCTTAATGCTTTCAAAGTTTTCTGTATGTTTCCGATGGCATCCATTTTGTTTCCATTCAAAACAACAACAAAGCTGAGCTCGACAGTTTGAACGGCTGGTTATCATTCTTCATTGAAGTTTTAGTGATCGCAAGAGTTGTTTCTCGTAAAGTGATTTAAAA